AGGTGCTTATGGACATGGGAAGAATGTTAGCGAACATCGCCGATGTGAAAAACGCGCTCACCCAGTCAGACCGGGTGTCCAGGCCCCACGGTGAGATCTACGCGGAACCATGTGAAGGAGTGAAGGTCCCCGAGTGCCCTTTTATAAGGCTGTCGGCGAACGTGCGCGGCCTCGACGATGCCCCCATGGCCTGGAGGCGCGCAGTCATCAACTGCATGGAAAAAGCACGGCTTCCTTCGCGCGCTACTCGAACCCTTTTGATGGTGCCGCGATGACAAGCAGTGGCGCTTGCTCAGTGTGATACTTCGGGAAGTTGACGAGTTCTTTATTGCAAGCGCCTCCGAGCAGGATCGGACCTGGTTTCAACAGGCATTGGAGCCTGCGTTCCGCTTCAGAAAGTATCGAGATTGCCTAGCGGGCCCTGTAGATTTCGCAGGCCGCCGAGTTGCCATCGGCCCGCGCCGAGCGACCATAGATATGGAAAAAAATATACTAGAAGAGATTCGCCCCGTGTCTCTGGCCAAGGGACGCCTTGGGAAGAAGGATGCTCTTCTCGACGGGGCCGAGTTTCAAGCTGCGCGCCCGTTCATTTACATGAACAATTGGGTCGGCAGGGAAGTCCGACCCGAAGCCGCAGGGGCAGCGAGCGCACTTGCCAGTCGTCTAAAAGCCGCCACCACAGGAGACGTGAGCATTGCCAACAAACTAGTCAGGCATCGATGGTCGTCGGCTTCTCGAGGAATCATCATCTGGCGCCTCAACCCAGAGCACGCGGCGTTGGTTTCCTTCTCCGACGCTGGAGGCGTCGGCGGCCCTGCGGCGCTAGATGACGATCGCGGGCTGCCTGTCGATCCCACCCAAGGAGCTTGGATGGTTTTGGCTTGCGTCGAGACGTTGCCGAAAACTGTAGAGTGCGTGCCTCTATTTTTGGCTGGCGCAGCTCTAGGCTGCGCCGCAAAGTGCCCTCCGCGCTAGCAGACGAGACCCTTGCGCTCTCGGCAGCAGTGGCATAGGTCGAGTATCTGCAATTGCTTTATCGTGCTGTGATTCTCAGAGACGTGACCTTGCGAGACCAGCACCGGTGCTCTGGTCCATTCACGACAGTTTTGCGTCGCCATTGTCTCCTGGGGGCCCGAGTGGGACAGATCCATGTTGCAAGCGCCAAGTCCATGTACGATACGATGATGAAAGAAGGGAATGCGTCGGCAAAGGGCCGTCGCACAGCTGTCGATTTGGCAATAGTATCAGAAGCCCTCGAACAGGCCTCCGGCAAGGTACGCTGGGTTTCCCGCAATCGTATTGCCGTAGATGCCCATACGAAAGAGGATATGACTAAGTGTAACGCCGCGGTGTTCGATCTCATGACCAGCTGGCGTCTTATCCTAGTGGATGAGGGGGGCGAGGTGGAGAAGAGGAAGGAGGACCCAGGACTCAAGAAGCGCTCCCCAGCTGCTTCCCGGAAGATCCTGGATCGCGAGGTTGCTCGCGTCACCTGGGGGAAAGAGAGCTGGAGAAGCACTGAACCCGGATCCTCACTCGGTGGTGGTGGTGGTGGTGCTTCGGTGTCTCTCTTCATCTCTCCCTCCCTTCCTGTTTTCACTTCCCCTTGTTTGCTCCGGCTGGCCGGCATGGAGATAGGGGAGCAGCTGTATCAATAGGCAAGGCCTATTGTAGATCCCCGCTGGCAGGCCGGGCTTGCGAGAATTTAGTCGGGCAGAGGCCCCGATAAGAGTTTTGCCACCTCTCCTTGCTAGGGGTGCTGAACATAGGAGAAAGTCTAGGGCGTGTAGCAGCATGTCAATTTTTCGATTGATAGGTTCAGCAGCGAACGAGATACTCGCGTCGCGTTGTGGCTCAAGCCAACAGAACCATTTTGGAGAGGAGGCTACCGCCACAAGAGGGCGAGGCGGAGGATTATGTGGAGGGCGGCGAGCTCAACGGCGTTGGGGGAGGCGTTCAGCAGAAGAGGAGCAGCAGCATCAGCAGCAGCAGTGGTGGCGGCAGCGGGAGGGCGATACCCTGATTAGTAGGTCGACCCTGCCAGCTCAAGGGCGCCCTTGTGTCCTGTGCCTCGCGACGCGTGCCTTCTTGCATTCCTATGGCGATGTGGCCTTCGCAAGGGTCTTTTGTCCTCTCGCGTGTCTTGTCCAATCAAGGCCGATTGTATCGCCGGGGTGCGCGCGGCACCGTTTCAATTCCGGTAGTGATGGGAAGGGCGCCAAGTTAGCGCGGCGCCTAAATCACTACCCACCGTTTCTCTTCCAATCTTTTTCCTCATAGAGAACTCCCTGTCGCACCCCGAGGCCGGTCGAAAGAGCGGGCCAGGCGTTTCGCTTGAGACTTCTTGCTTATTTATGATCCTGATGCTCAAACATTGACAACCGTTTTGTTGATGGGAAGCGGGTCGTTTTCAAACTGTGGTCTTCGCCTTAGCGTTAGGCACATTCGTTTCAACAAGTTGCCAGAGCTTCACGGATCGAGGGCGGGTCCTTTTGTCAACATGTGGCTATCGCCCCAGCGCCGCTCACATTCGTTTCAAACATTTGCAAGAACTTCACGGATTGAGGGTGGGTTGTTTTCAATGTGTGGTTCTCGCCTTAGCGCCGCGCACACTCGCACAACATTATCCCAGTGCGACCCTACCTAACCTCAGGAAGGCATTAAGAACCCCCCCCCCCTTTTCCGGTGGATTATAACGCCCCCGCACCCTGGAGCGTTATGGCCGCACCGGAAGACCTGGCTGAGGGGACTCGGGGCCTAGCTAAGGCCTGCCAAGCGCAGATTTGCTCCTGCCAAGCAGTGCTTGGCAGAGTTTAGCAAGGCTTTGCAAGACGTGCCAGGGATAAAGGTGCACAAAGATCTGGGCTAGATCCTTGACATTCGTCACGACACCCTCTCTTGGCGTTAGTGGGGCGGCCGCCGATGGTGGATTTTGTTTTCTGTGTGCGGCGGGTGCTAAGTGCATCGTTCGGCTAAAACTGCCCGCCTGGAATATTGAGAAAACCGGGTGCTAAGAATAACCCAGGGGGGTTTCTTAATGCCTTCCTGAGGTTAGGAGTTGGAGCCCCTAGGAAAGCAGCATTAGTAGTGACAGTAAAGCTAAGCTAACGCTAAGCTACAACTAAGATAAAGCTAAGATAAAGCTAAGCTGAATCTAAGCTAAAGCTAAGCTAAAGCTAACCTAAAGCTAAGCTGAAGCTAAGCTGAAGTTGAGCTGAAGCTAAACTGCAGCCAAGCTGCAGCTAAGCTAAAGCTAAGCTAAAGTTAAGCTAAAGCTAAGATAAAGCTAAGCTAAAGCTAAGCTGAGTCTAAGCTAAAGCTAAGCTAAAACTAAGCTAAAGCTAAGCTACAGCTAAGCTTAAGCTAAGCTTAAGCTGAGCTTAAGCTAAGCTTAAGCTAAAGCTAAGTTAAAGCTAAGCTAAACGACAGTTAAGCTAAATTTAAGCTAACGCTAAGCTGGAGCTACGCTAAAGCTAAGCTAACGCTAAGCTGAAGCTGAGCTAAAGCTGAGCTAAAGTTGAGCTAAGGTAAATCTAAGTTAAAGCTAAGGTAAAGCTAAGGTAAAGCTAATATTAAGCTCAGCCTAAGCTAAGCTAAAGCTAAGCTAAAGCTAAGCTAAATCTAAAGCTAAATCTACGCTAAAGATAAAGCTAAGCTAAAGCTAAGATAAAGCTAAGCTAAAGTTCGAGCTAAAGCTCAAGCTAAAGCTCCCAGGGGACTGGGGGAACCGCGGGGCGGATCCTGGGGGAACTGCCCGGGGCGGGACACACTGCCCAGCCCCTTAAGCTTACAGGGTAAGAACCCTTCTAGTCAGAGCCTAGGTATGGAACAATACAACAACTTCACGGATTGAGGGCGCTTTTTCAGAAGGTGTTTTTTTCTTTAGCGTCGCGCTCATTCGCTGCGCGCATTTGCAAGCGCTTCACGGATTCAGGGCGGGTTGTATTCAACATGTGGTTCCCGTTTTTGCGCCGCGCGCATTTTTTTTTTTAACATTTGTAAGAGTTTCACATATTGAGGGCGGGTGGTTTTCAACATGTGGCTTTCGCCTCAGCGCCGCGCACATGGTTCTAAACATGTGCAAGAGCTTCACGGATTGAGGGCGCTTTGTTTTCACAATGTGGTTCTCGCTAAAACGCCGCGCACATTCGTACAACACATTGCAAGAATTTCACGGATTGAGCACGTGTGGTTTCCCACATGTGGTGATCGCGTTAGCCCCGCGCACACACGTTCCTTGTACATTGCAAGAGCTTCACGGATTGAGGTCGTTTTCATTTCGAAATTCGGTTCCTGCCGTAGCGCCGCGCAGATTTCTTGTTCATACTCGCAAGAGTTTCATTGGTTCTCATGGTCAACGTACGAGAACCGGAGTTTTGAAGCGATTCAGGATTGTCAGGGCGCAACAGGTATGCTGATTCGCGGTGTTGAAAACCAAGGAAGGCATTCCAACACGATTCAGGATCGCCACGGCGTAACAGTCAGGTTAACTCGTGGCGTTGAAGTCCTGAGCATGGTGTTTTGGCACGCTCCTCGATGCTCACATGGTTGTCCCCCAACGCGGCAATTCCCTCAGTGGAAATGACCCCTTACAGGGGCTTATGAGAGGGATTTTGGAGGGAGGGTGTATTTCAGCATCGTTGATGAGACTTGGGCTTGCGCTGGTCTTCCTCCTCCTCCTTCTCCTGCTCCTCTTCCTCCTCCTCCTCCTGCTCATTGTCCTCCTCCTCCTCCTCCTCCTCCTCCTCCTCCTCCTCCTCCTCCTCCTACTACTACTACTACTACTACTACTACTACTACTACTACTACTACTACTACTACTACTACTACTACTACTACTACTACTACTACTACTACTACTACTACTACTACTACTACTACTACTACTCGTCTTTTTAATTCAGCGCCTCGCTACGGCTTTCGTGTTTTGGTGCCGTCGTGGAGAAAAGGACGACGAGGGCGGTGCGCCTCAACCCCGCCGTGTCCGCCGCGCGCGAGTTGTTTTTCTTTCGAACTGCCAGCTTTTTCCGGCCATTGGCACGCGGCCCCACCCCGCTGTGCTCCTCACTGGGTATACCCATGCCCTTGTGAGGGAGCCGGCCCCCCCCCCCCCCCTCGGCGCGGCAGCGAGGCGCGACCGGGCCATGTCGGACTCGGGGGACACCAGCTCGACACCACAGCACCAGGTCCTGCCCAGACCCACCACTGGGCTCTCAGGGCCGGTGTGCACACGCCGCCATCTCCTGTCGATGATCCTGAGAACGTGTTAGCCGAATGTGTGTTCGTCCCATTCGGCCCTCATCACATCGGCTGCGCAATCTTGAAGGGCTTAGGTGGACAAGCACTCGTTGGCGCTAACACACATTCCGAAGATCATCGATCTTGCCTGGCCAGGCCGCGCGGGCGCGCGCACCGCTTGCAGGGCCGCCTAGGATCCGTTTCAATGCTACTCGATTCGCCGGCCGGGGCCGCGACTCCGACTGGATTCGATTCGATTCATTGGCATCGGCCAGGGCCAGCCGGAGCCAGGCGCGGCGATCCGATTTCGATCCGATTCGGGACGATTCACTGGCGATCCGATTCGCTGTCCGGGTCCAGGTGTATCGCTTTCGGGCGCCGCAGGCTGGGTCACAGCAAACGGGGGCACGGGGAACGCCGAGTTCCATGTTTGACGATGCCATGCCCCTATCTATGGGGATTTTGGCTCCGTGGCATATTCTCAGCAGGTCTTTAGTTTTGATCCCCCCTTTTCACTCGGCGATGAGTAGAAGTGGTCCTAAAACCGTCGTCGATGTCGTTGTCGTCGTAGTCGTAGTCGCAATCGTAGTCGTAGCTGTCGTCGTCGTCGTCGTTGCGCGGCGGGTGCCGCGGAAACAAATAATTAGTTGCCCCCGATTGGTGGGACCCCAGTCCTCCGATAAGGCAGCCGAACACATGATTAGTTACCCCCTACTGGGGGGGGTCTAAAGTTCTGCCCCCGTCTAGTGGGCCCTGCTTCGAGTAGGGGATCGACCACATAGTCGACGTACCCCAGAATTGGTTTTCTCGTCGAACCTACTAGCAAAAACATCTAGCGCGTGTAGATCTAAGAACATTTCTACGTACTTGCCGACGACAGAATCATGGTTTGGGTGCAGTCGATGCCCAACTCGATTGATCGCTGGTGTCTTGCGAGCGTCCCCCCGCAAGACGGCGACCACCACCGCACGGTGGCACCGCGAGCGGCCTCGGCGACGCCGCCCCCCGAGCCCACCACGCCGCCTCCGGAGGCCGCCCAGCAGCGTCTGACCCCAGGCCTCTCAGATGGGGTCCGAGCAGCTGGGTTCGGTAGCAAATCATGGAAGACCGGCGTACCCTCCCAATTCCGTCTTTAGCGTGGACCAGCGTCGATGAGCGTCTGGGAGTCGATGAGATAGCGCAGAGTTAGGTTCGGTTTGCGTCGATTAGCGTCGATGTAGCGTCGCTTAGCGTAGATTGAGCGTCGAGTAGCGTCGGTATAGCGTCGATTAGCGTCGACTAGCGTCGATTCGCAAGAGTCGACAAGATGGTAGGGGAGGCTCCCATAAGTTGCCACCGAAGATGGGGACGGAGGATCGCCCCGCATCGTCGATGCATCGGCGATGCGGCTCGATGTGGAGCCCGACTTTCTCCCCGCCGACGTCGCCGATACCTCGCCGACGCATCGCCGGTGCATCGCCGATGCATCGCCGATGCGGCGCGATTTTCCGAATCCATCGACTCGAACCACATTTGGGAGGCCTCCACTCACATGTCAACAGAGGAGGGCCAGTTCAGACAACGGCAGCACCTTTTACAAAGTTAGCCACCGTAGACTCCATACGGTGTGGTTGTAGCAATATGTTGTGCAACCCATGTGGGGCAAATTATGTGGTGCAACCTGTGTGAAGTAAAGTATGTGCAACCAATGTTGTACAATCCCTGTTCTGCAATATGTGTGGTGCAATCGATGTGGTGCACTCTATGTGGTGCGATCGACATGGTGCAATCGACGTGGTGCAATCGACGTGGTACCACGTATGTGGTGCAATCGATGTTGTGCAACCTACGTGGTTCAATCTATGTGGTGCAATTCACTTTGACTGTCTTCAAGCTGTCCTCTCCTTTGCTCGTGCAAACATCCCACTCTCCCACCCGCAACTTGGTCGCAAGACTTCGTAAGACCGTGACGGTGGGTACCAAATGGCACTTGGCAACGACAGCGACGCCGACGACGACAGCGACAACGACCACGACGATTACGCCGACGACGACTACGACGACACCGACGACGTCTCCGACGATTTCGACGACGACGACAACGACGACGACGACGACGACCGCGACACCGACGACGACGACGATACCGACGCCGACGACGACGACGTTGACGACGCCGACGACGACGATGGCGACGACGACTCCGACGACGAGGACGACGACGACGACGTCGACGACGACGACGTCGACGCCGACGACGACGACAAAGACCACGACGACGACGTCGCCGACGACGACGACGACGATGAGGGAGGAGGGAGGACGACGACGGCGACAACGACGACAACGACGAGGGAGGAGGGAGGACGGCGACGACGCGAACGACGAAGAAGGAGGGAGGACGGCGACGCCGACGACGACAACGACGAGGGAGGAGGGAAGACGACGACGAGGGAGGAGGAAGGACGACCACGGCGACAACGACTACTGAAACGACGACGCCAAAGATGACGACGACGACGACGACGAGGAAAGACAGAGGATGACGACGGCGACGACGACGACGAGGGAGGAGGGAGGACGGCGACGACGACGACGATGCAAGAGCGCGCGAGCACACGCTTTTGTTGAAAATCATTGTTGCGAAACCTTGTGTTTTTGTATATGTGTTTGGGGCACTCGGTTTTGAAATCCTTCCGACACCGAAGGTTTTTGAAGGATTCCGGCATGCGCGCGCGACGACGCGCGCGTGTGTTTTTCGTCACGTTTTTTCGAAGAGGATTCTCGCGACGGCACGCGCGCAAACAGAACCCCTAAGGGTAAACACTTTTTGGAAAACGCCAAACGTGTCGCCCGGTCTCGCCCGCAGGGACCATCACATATCGATATGGCTCGAATAATGCCACAGAAAGATGGGGTCTAGTCCCTTAGATCGTGATGTTGCGCGATGTTGCAGTTTTTCGCAACGTTCGGCCTCAGGCAGTTGAGACAACGGTAGTTGGCCTTCGAGGGGTCCCATCGTCGCCATGGCTTGACGCAGCTCGGAAAATTAGTGCATTGGGAACCTGGGAGGGGTATGGGGAGCGATTTTGAGCTGCGGTTGTCTCAACTCGCCCTGCTCTGACTATCCCCACCCCCACTGAGCCATGGCATCTCGGCCCCACCAGCCCACCCGCCCAGGTGGGGGCAGGTCCCGCGAAACCCGCATGGAGCAGCACACTTCCCGTTTATCGATGGTTCTTTGGACGCTCCACCTGTCGCGCGCAGCCTGTGCCGACCCTCATTGCACCGCCTGCGTCGCATTGAGGGGCCTCGGTGGACTTCGGTGGGCAAGCACACGTGGGAGCTAACACACGTTCCGAGGATCGAACCTCGGGGTGGGGGCCAGCAAGTGGGGCCCAGGCCATGCCAGTGGGGATAGGGATTAGACAATCGATGCTCGAGGCCGCCACGCCCCCGCACGGCGCCGAGCCGAGCGCGGAGGGCTTCCACGACGGCCCCGTCGCGGGGCACGGGGGCCGGCTTCCCGAGGGCGCCGCCGCGGACGGCCCGCCCTCGGAGCTGCTCGGGAGCAGCATATCAAGGGACGTCGAGGGAAGAAGCCCGAAGGCTTCGGGCTGCGCGCGGACCGCCCCCCCCCCCCCCCCCAGGTAGTCCCGGCTGGCCTCCTCGGGGCCACCCGAGCAGTCTTTGCCGGCCTCAACAGGCCCCCGGGTAGTCAGGGTCGGTCTCAATTCCTTGGCGCCGCATCCGGTGGCGCCCCCGGGACGCTCCGCGCCCCAGCGTTGTGGCGTCGAGACCGCCTTGGTTCACTCGGAGGGCATGGGGCCTGTTGAGGCCAGCTGCGACTGGGGGCCTGGTGAGGCCAGGTGGGACTATCTGCTGGGGCTGTCTGTGCGCAGCATGAAACCTATTGAAGTCTTACGACGGTGTCGCGGGGTCTTGTCGACGCCAATGCGCGAGGGTGATCCTCGAATCGTGGTGACCAAGATTGACGATGGCCAAGATCGACACCGACGTTCCCGCGTTCAACATTGGTAATGGTTCTCTTTTTTTGTTTTTTTTTCTCTCTCTCTCTCTCTCTCCCCCCTTTTTCTCAACCCTCCTGTTTTGGGTTCTCGTTTTGAATAGAGCAGTGTGGTCTCCACCCTCCTTCTCCCGCCTCCTCGCTCCTGCCTTCTGTGCTCTCCTGCCGTCTGGTTCCTGATTCCTGCCTCGCCGTCTTGTCTGTTGGGCGGCCTTGCCTAGGGGTTGCGATCACTGGGCGATCAGCTCAACTGTCGCCGCTTTGGTGACCTCCTGGGAGGCCCAGCGGAGGTACGTCATACACAGATCACCACTATAGCTCGCGGTGCCCTGGGTGGCTGCGATCTGCGAAACCGTCGGCACTTTCGTGGGCTCTTGGGAGGCCCGGCGGAGGTACGTCATACGCAGATCACCACTATAGCTCGCGGTGCCCTGGGTGGCTGCGATCTGCGAAACCGTCGGCACTTTCGTGGGCTCCTGGAAGGCTCAGCGGAGGTACGTCATACGCAGATCACCACTATGGCTCGCTGTGCCCTGCGCGGGCTGCGATCTGCGAAATTGTCGGCACTTTCGTGTGCTCCTGGGAGGCCCAGCGGAGGTACGTCATGCTCAGATTATCACTGTAGCTCGCGGTGCCCTGGGTGGCTGCGAAATTAGACGGCTCAAGAGAGACTCAAGAGAGCTCCAAGATTGTCTAGTATACCGAAGACGCCTACTGCGAATCACCGCCGCCCCCTGCCTTTTTGCAAGCGCCTGCGTGGCCGAAAGTTGGGTTTGAGCTTGGCCAAGCTATCGGGCCACGCGTTCCCCGAGTGGGTTTCGAAAGCCTTCGGGGAACACGGAGTCTGGCGAGCTATCGGACCAAGTGGTTTCCGAGCTTTCGGGCCTTCCTGGAGGACGTTTTGGAGGGGTCTTCGCCCATCTTGGAGGCCTCTTGCGGGCCTTTTGACCATGCCATTTTCAGGCCATCTGGGGCCGTCTTGGGTGCATCTTGGGGCCATCTTCGCTGTCTTGGAGGCCTTCTTGGCCGTCTTGGAGGCATCTTGGAGGCCATCTTGACCGTCTTGGAGGCCATCTTCGGCGTCTTCGGGGCCATCTTGGGCCGTCTTGGGCTCTTCTTGGAGCCCTCTTGGGCTGTCATGGAGCCATCTTGGAGGCCTCTTGGGCGCTCCTGGGACGATGTTGGGGGCCTCTTGGGCCGTCGGAGAGCTGATAAGAAGAACATGCCAAAATCCTCCGAACACCTAACGAACATCAATGATTTTTGCCCTTTCGGGCCTTCCTGGAGGACGTCTTGGAGCGCTATTGGGCCGTCTTGGAGGCCTCTTCTGGGCCTTTTGGGCTGTCTTAGACCATCTTGGGGCCATCTGGGGCCGTCTTGGGTGCATCTTGGGACCATCTTAGCCGTCTTGGAGGCCATCTTGGCCGTCTTGAAGGCATCTTGTATGCCTTCTTGCGCCATCAGGGCGATTTTGAAAGCCGTCTCGGGGGAGTTTTTGGGAGAATTATGCGCCCTTCGGGTGGCCGGCGGGACGGGCCGACGCCTCAGGTTTTTTTTGGGGGGGGAAACAGAACCAACACCAAACGCGAAATGATCTAGCACGCCAGGCACCCCTGTGATGAATCAACAGGGGGCGGCGGATCGAAGACGCCTACGGCGAGTCACCGCCGCCCCCTGCCTTGTTGGAAGTGTCTATGTGGCCGAACGGTGAGGCCAGACCTGCCAAGCTATCGGACCATGTGTTCCCCGAGTCGGTTTTGAAAACCTTCGGGGAATACGTGGGCATCTTGAAGGTCATCTTGGCCGTCGGGAGGCCATTTTGACCCTTTCGGGCCTTCTTGGAGGACGTCTTGGAGGGCTCTTGGGCCGTCTTGGAGGCCATCTTGAGCGTCTTGGAGGCCTCTTGGGCCGTCTTGGGGGCATCTTGGGGCCGTCTTGGGCATCGTGGGCGATCTTTGGGGGCACTTGGGCCGTCTCGGGCCGTCGGAAGGCCGAAACAACAGCACATGCCACAATCCTTGAACAACTCGTGTGAAATCAATGATTTTGGCATGTTCGGGGCCTCCTGGAGGCCCTCTTAGAGGCCTCGTGGGGCGTCTTGGGCCATCTTCGAGCCAATGTCGGCCATCTGGGCTTCTGGCCCGTCCGACGCCGTCGGAAGCCGTTTGGGGGGCCTCTCTGGGCCGACTTGGGGCCCTCTTGGAATGTTCCGGGGCCGTCTTGGATGCCATCCTGGCCGTCTTGAAGGCCTCCGGGGCCGTCCTGGGGGCCTCTTGGGGCCGTCTTGGGGGCCTCTTGGGCCGTTCTGGGGCCATCTTGGAAGCCTCTTGGGCGATCTTTGGGCGATCTTTGGGTGCTCTTGGGCCGTTTCGGGCCGTCGGAAGGCCTAAACAAACACATGGCAAAATCCTTCGACAACCTATGGAACAGAAGTGCTTTGGGCCTTTTTCTGGCCTTCGTGGAGGCCCTCTTGGAGGCCTCGTGGGCCGTCTTGGGCCAGCTTCGAGCCAATTTCGGCCATCTTGGTGGGTTCCTGGCCCGTCCGACGCCGTCGGGAGCCGTCTTGGGGGCCTCTCTGAACCGTCTTGGGGTCCTCTTGGGGCGCTTCGAGGCCGTCTTGGAGGCCATCTTGAGCGTCTTGGAGGTCTCTTGGGCCGTCTTGGGGCCCTCTTCGGGCCGTCTTGGGGGCCTCTTGGGCCGTCATGGGGCGCTCTGGGAGGCCTCTTGGGCGATCTTGGGGCGATCTTGGGGGCTTCTTGTTCCGTCTTCAGCCGTCGGAATCCCGAAAACAAATGCCAAAATCTTTCGAAAACGGAAGGAGCATCATGATGTTGGCTTCTTCGGGCCTTCCTGGAGGAGCTCTTGGAGCGTCTGGGAGGCCTCTTGGGGGCCTCTTGGGCCGTCTTGGAGGCATCTCTGGCCCATCTTAGCCGTCTTGGAAGCCATCTTGATTCTAAAGCGAGCTGAGGGACGTAAGGAGTGGAAGCGAGCGTGCGCCCGCGGCCGCGTCGGCTCAAGCGGCCGGCCGCCCAACTATGACTGCCTCACTGCGAGGCACACAATCGCTATCGAGACCAAAAGAATATTCCTACTGCTTGAGACGGCACATCCTCTCATATTGGGACTATCGTTACTACGGTGCAACAGAGCGGGAGCTTGGCTTCGCCTGAGGCGAAGCTGCTGGCTGGGCCTACCAGCCCCCTTTCAAACTTGGTAGCGTAGCTGGCCTATGGTGGTCAGCTCGTGCTCTACTCCTCACCATCCACGGCACTATCTGGTGGACTACAGATATAGTGGAACATGAGGGTGCAGTGGGTTTGCGCGGAGGAATGTATTTAAGTACGCAGTGCCGCAGGGAAACTTGCAGCGATACCTCTGTCCAAGCGGAGGTCTCTTACTTACATCTTACAGCCCTGCGCTATTACACTCTTGAAGTCCACCCACCTACTCCAATTGGAAGTTTCTTCGAAGACGTACTGCATGGAAACATGCGGTACGACGCACCGCCGCCTCCGACTCCACGCAGACTTACGACTAAACAGCATAAGTCCCAACCGACTACATCCGACTCCACGGGGCCATTGGATTGGTGTTACTATCTTTGGGCTCACATGGGTCGCTATTGGGTGTGCGGTAGGACATATGCGTGGCGGAGACGACGCAAAAACGACCGGCCCCCATTGGGACCCCGCCGGTCAAGTACCTTTTCGCGAATCCGTCCGCGAAGTACATGCCTGGATCAAAGTGACCACAGGCAATATGACGCCCTCCCAGCAGGCTGCAGCTTTGCAGCGAGGTTTGGGAGGTCTCGCACGGACTATAGACTATAGCCACGATAGTCCCCCCAGCAGTTATTAATTTTGGCGTCAACATAGGCGGTCGCCACGCCGACGGCGCCACCTACATTATGTTCCTCTTAAGCACGAGGTTCGAGAACCTAGAAGAAGAACGCCAACTCAACTCTGGCACGGCTCTTATTGACTTTCGAGTCCATGCGGGTGAACGTATCGACCAGACGTTAGCACGGTTTGAGATAGCCCGTTATGAAGCCGAAACAGCCGGCTTCAACATCCCCAACTTCCAAATCTGAGCAGCAATTCTATTCGCAGCTCTTGGAGTGGGGACATCGCGCGCGCAACAACTCCTCAAGCCTCTGAACCACTTCATGCCGAGAGACCAACCACACTTTGACGCTCTACTAGAACGCATGAGGTCATATGCGCACATAGCTGAGAGAACCCCCCTGGCAATATTGATGGTATATTTAGTCGCGATCATCGAGCCGAGACCTTCCACGTGCAGGCCAACGCGGAGCAACCTGCCAACAACGTCTGGAACGATCATCCACAGTCAACTGAGACCACTACACTGCTGGCTCAGACTGGTGGAACTGCTTCGGGGTCGCAAGACTCCTGGGCCAGACCCAGGGGGCCGCCCGACGCGGTCTCCCCCATGCAAGCCATGACCCGAATGGGCTCAACGGGGCAACCCGCCGAGTCCGACTGCGACTCCGGCAACGATGCGGATGCGTCTTCAGATGACGAAGCCGCCGCCCTGG